CACACACACACACACACACACACACACACACACACAGAACAAAAATATAAACGCAACACTTTTGTTTTTGCCCCCATTTTTCATGAGCTGGAAGGTGAGGTGAGGTGGCCAGCCTAAGGCACACCTGTGCAATAATCATGCTGTCTAATCAGCATCTTGATATGCCACACCTGTGAGGTGGATGGATTATCTCGGCAAAGGAGAAGTGCTCACTAACACAGATTTAGACAGATTTGTGAACAATATTTGAGAGAAATAGGCCTTTTGTGTACATAGAAAAAGTCTTAGATCTTTGAGTTCAGCTCATGAAAAATGGGGGCAAAAACTAAAGTGTTGCGTTTATAATTTAGTTCAGTGTATATATATATATATATATATATATATATATCTCACTTGATTTAAGAATGTTCAGATGTTTATTTGTATTAGAAAACAAAACTATTAATTTTTTACAGTGCACTTAATACCATGACTTTATGAATGTAAGACTGTCTGCTCCGATTTAAGAGGTTTTTAGGTCTTTTTTTAGGGTGAATTCAGATTTTTTTAAAGACATTTATAATATTAAAAGAAACACTGTTAATAATTAAAAATGTTTTCTACTGAACCAATACTATGTAATCTACCAAAAATGTAACATTTAAGAGTTTCAATATTTAATTTCAATTTAAATCTGTTTCTTGCATGATTTTCCTCAATTACAAAAATTGTGTCAAAAATTTTAGAATTACAATCAAAACTGGATGCATCAGGAAGCCTGATGTGATTTCAGCCAGTGTGATTTCTGGATTTTTGGTTGGGGGGTAATTATGCCAAGTTCTAAAATACTTTTTGGGAAGAAATTGTAAGTAAAAAAATATTTTTAAATTCATTATCCTTATTCAATAAATCATGAACAACTGTGAAAGTCATTCAGCCCTGTTAACAAATTATTAAAAAATAAATCAAATCAAACAAATTCCCTTTCATTCATCTAAAATAAAGCATGTTTTATCAATAACTATAAACCAACATTTGGTCCCAAACTAGCTAGATGCTGCCGAGTGATAGTTTAATTTAGGCTAAATTTGCAACCCTGTTACACAGGCTTTTTATGTACATTTATTTTATTTTTTTTTAATTATCTATTTGATTGAAACGCTTTCATTTTGTTGCAAACCTCAGAATATAATGCTCATATAATTAGTTTAACCCCTTAAAAACATTTTCTGAATGTTAAACATCTACTAACACGGAAAATAAAATATACTCTTTTCATGGAAATTCCCACTGAACCTTCATGAGCACTGCCCCTAAAACCATAATCACCGATTTGTTGCCAACTGGCCTTGATTTCTCCCATGAGCAAAGTAGTAACTAGATCCTTATGCCTTTTCTTAACATGCGTTAAAGCATCACAAACATCCAAGAAGACATCCCTTGAGCCATTTTACAACTGCACAAACCAAACACTAGTAAATCTGCTGATTTTCTGTGACGTGTCACACTGTCAGACAACAAATGGCAGACTTCACAAACACCACCAGCATCATTAAAAATGCCAAAAATCATTTGCGATTGCTCTCCGACTCCTCCTAAATCTAGTTTAACCTCTAATGTCCACGCAGACAGAAAACATCTGTTCGGCTCTTCGTTTATTCACGTGAGTTGATATTAGAGCACAAGATCCCAAAAGAAAAAAAAAGACAGCAGCACACCCACAATTCATTCACACATATCTGTGCAAGGTCAAACGGGCACACCGGAATAAAACAAAAACCAAACCAAAACATGGACCACGGTCATTAGCGAATGCTAATCTGGTCCAGAGCAAAGAGGGAGGGGGCTTACAAACACGCCGAGCTCACAATCTGTTCTGAGGATAGAGGAGGGCGGCTCTGAGGGGTAGCTAGCAAAAGATCTGGCAGGTTTAGTTAGTGCTGTTTACACTGAGAAGAGATTTGAGGAATAGCTGAACATTCATCCTTGAGAAAGAAAAAGAGACGGTTAGAATCAGAGAGAAATGCTGTGGTTAGTATTCAGGCTTCACCAGGACACAATTTGAACAAACAATGACAACACTCCTGAAGAAGAGAAGAAAACTGGATTTAATTAAAAAAAGTTTAACAGGAAAGCAATGTAAAAACTTCAGAAATATACACTGTAGTGGTGAAGATCTAACTGTGCTTGATCCTCTGAATCCTATGTTTCATGATTCATAAGATGCCTCTGAGATGCCCCTTGAAGTGGAGTGAACCGCTCACTGTTTATGCATTTATAATGAAGCTCTAAAAGTTTGCCTAAGATCATATATTCAGCTAAACTCCACAGGAGAGCTTTATCCTCTGCTACCCCCATCTGCTTCTATACACACCAACTACACTACTAAAGTTTGGAACAACCATGAATTCTTTGTGTTTTTCAAATGTTTAATGTTTTTTAATGTTTATGCCCACCAAGGCTGCATTTATTTGATCAAAAGCAGTTTTTAAAAATAATTTAATCCAATGCCAAAGCCAACATTTTTAGCAGCAATTTCTCCAGTCTTCAGTGTCACATTATCCTTCAGAAATCATTTTAATATGCTGATTTGCTACTCCGTTATTATCAATTATTTTGATGCTGTTATTAATTAATAATGGTTCTTATCAATGTTAAAAACTGCGGCTTAATACAGAAGTTCTAAGAGGCCATGCATTATTTTTATTTTGGGATTACGACCTAATTTTCTCATGATCTTGACATAACAAAAGCAGTTCTTTTAACAATGATTGCTTGATTTTTTTAAATACAATGCATCGTGAGTCTACTGTTGCTATAGTAACGAACGCTACTTTGATGGGGACATTCTAAAATGCTTAACGTGGCTTAATGCGTTAATTTTTTGGGAGTGTTTTTAAAAGACCAAACTCAGTATACACATAATTAGTAAATCATACAATGTACATCCAAGCAAATAAGCCCATAATAAGAATGCAATGCGTTTAATTACGCATTAAGCATTTCATCGATAGAAAACAGTTATAAGGAAAACGCTTAACGTGGCTTCATGCTTTAAGAGAGTGTTTTTAAAAGACAAAACTCCGTAAACATTCTTAATAAAGCATTCTATGTATAGACAAGCAGATGAGCCCAAAATAAGAACGCAATGCATTTTAACGCATTAAGCATTTTACACATAGAAAACCATTATAGGCTAAGGAAAACGTGTTGCGTTCGCATCCTGGACTCATCCGCTTGTCTGAATTTCTGAAGGATAATTTAATGCCGAAGACTGTGCTATCATTCATTCAGCTTTGCCATCAAAGGAATAAATTACTTTATTTATTTTATTTATTCACAATAAATTTATTTACAATAAATTGCAATACATGCAGCCTTGGTAAGACTTCTTTCAAAAACATTACAGAATCTTAATAATTCCAAACTATTATTACAAACAATTATACATCAGTGTTTGAACTAGGGGTGGAACGGTTCGCAATCGCTAGGACCGCGGTTCAACTTAAATCTGACAACGAATCTGTAATATGGTTTGCTATAAATAACACGTCAAAAAGGTTTCGGCCAATATATGTTTCTGTTGATGGATGCGCATTCTGGCTTCCCAATACATTACAACAACAGCGATGGAAAAAAAAAACGTGGACAAACCATTCACTCTTGTTCAATGCCGTATGCTGGAATGAGCATTTATTCTGTCATCACCCGGGTGCTAATAGAGCGCGCGCACAGGTGAGACCTGAACAGCACACATTGATCTGTGTTTAAGCTAAACTCGTTTAAGCTTTGCCAGTTTAAACATTTAAGAGCCAGAAGATGCGAGCTCGCTTACGCAGTGAGAAGATTTGCGCGTGCGCTCATCTGAAACACACAAACCCTGAAACCCTCTCTGTACCTGAAAACTAATGCTAGACCTACCTAAAAAAAAACTGAAAATCACTGTTCATTTTATTTGTTTCTTTACTCTATTGTATTTATTTGTGCTGTTGTAGTTAGATAGATTATTCTTATTTTCTTTATTTTTATTTGACAGTATAGATTTTTCCTAAACATGGCACATACCGAACCGTACTGAAACTGACTCTAAAACCGTGACACAAACCGAACCGTGAGTAAGTTAAACCATTCCACCCCTAGTTTGAACTATAATTTAATCTCGCATTTCAATCTAAAAGCAATAAAATAAATAAGATAAAGCCCTGGGTTTCGTGTATAGTGTCGTATGTGAGCCGCTCTATGGCATATGGCTGTCACAGCAGTGTTTCGACACAGCGGGAGAAGAAGGCTGTGCCGAAGCTGATCAGGCCAACCAGTTTTCAGGTGTAAACAATGCCACAGGGCGTGGACTCTGAAAGTTTCACAAGTTGAAAAGTCAACATGGAGCCCAGGTAAGAAGGCATACTGGCTGCCGGCCAAGCCTGCATTCAAAACATGACTATGATGAGGAGAAGCTTCCTTAAGCCTTTTATTACTGGCTGCAATTGACTCCTCAGCAAACAAATGAGGAAAACCATCCAATGGTTACGCCTCATCGAGAAGAGCGACATTTGTGCAGAGCAAACGTGTGAGCCTTTGTAGTCAGAGAAAGGATTTATAATCTCCCTCAGAGTCGAGAACGACAAAACGACGTGCGTATGTCTCTTTGAACACTATTTTTTTATCTAACCTTTTGCAAGTCTTATCTATCGTTGCGGATGCTCCCTGCGCTACAAAAACAAATGTGTCATTACTGTTTTCTTTTCAGGCATCTGTGGGGATAGCCTTTGCAAATGCAAAACACACATCAACACTCCCTCTAATGTGACATGATCTCTCTCGCAGCACCGCTTGATGTCACTACGATGGCTTCGTTTCAAGATAACATCATCTTTGCACTCTGCCCTGCAACTGACAGGAGATATGATCATGAAGTAGAATGTAACAATGTATGTAATGAATGCACAGACACATATTTGTTGACGGTGGATGGGTGTGTGCAGGACTATATCGGTCCTAATAGCTTTAAGGGCAGGACTCACCTTCTCCAGCTGTTGTCAGGGGGAGGAGAAAGGTACATCGTTCCATATGGAGAGCTCTCAGCGTAGTTCAGTCAAGGAAATCCTCTGAAGCTTTCACAGGCAAATGTCACAAACACATATGCTTCAATCTTTGTTTATATATAAGGTATAAATCTCAAAAAACATTTTCATTTCTCAAGACCATTTTCCAGATTCTGTCTAGTTTTGGCTTTTACTGTATTTTTATATTTGAAAGAAATATTTAGATTTTTCATTAATTGTTGTTTTTCCAAAGTTCTCCAAAGATTGTTTATTTACAAACCAAAATGAGCAAAAGCTGTAAATTATACATCTCTGCACTACTGTTCAAAAGTTTGGTGTCAATTATATTTTTTCAATGCTTTTGATCAGAAAACTGTAAAACATTCATATTGTGAAATATTATTACAAATTTAGAATGCCTGTTTTCTATTTGAATACATTTTAAAATGCAATTTATTCCGGTGATGGCAAATCTGAATTTTTAGCAGCCATTGTTCCAATCTTTAACGTCACATGATTTATTCAGGAATCATTCTAATATGCTGATTTGCTGCTCAAGAAACATTTCTTATTATTATCAATGTTGAAAAGCTGTTCTGCTTATTATTTTTGGGGAAACTGGATTCTTGAATGAATGAAGGTTCAAAATTACAGCATTCATTTGAAATAGAAAGCTTTTGTAACATTGCATATTCTTGATAGTTAAAACTAGTTCTTTCAAAGAAAAAACTTTTGAATGGTAGTGTATAAATGCAACTCAATGAATCAATTATGCTGGAAAACAACGGTCATCTCATAAATTCGAAACATTACCTTTGCGACAAATGAAGAGGAATTTTTAATCTGTTACGAGTTATCACATTTTGTTTTCCGACTTTAATATTAATTCAATCTATCACACTTTCTTCTTGTTGCCTTACTGTGACTAGTGGACAATGTTTCAAGCAGCCCAGGCAGGCACAACCGAGTTCAAGCTGTATTTTGCAGGTTAGTTCAATAGATTTTCTCAGACTGAAGAAGGGTAGAAATTGTGATTTCATATTACACAATTTTGATCTCACTTGATTTGTCTTGATATGGCCCTTTTAAAATCTCATTGTGCTGTCCAAATCCACTCAACACTCTCAGAAAAGTTACAGGAATTATAGGAGCGAAAACAGTCCAGCTGAAGAACTCCTTGAGTAAACATTGTTTCCTCAACTCAGACCGATGTTGACAATGCTGCCTCGTCATGTCCCTCTGTGCCAAGACTCTCACATCCAAATGGGAGGAGGGGTGGATTTACAAGACAGAAAGCAGATGTTGTACAGTCTTTTGCTGTACAACATCTGCTCAGGCCTGGAAAACCAAGTCATCAGTTCTGCTGCAGTAATGAGAGACTGAGCTCTTCATGCCAACCTTACAACCACCAGCCCGCCCCGTGACCCTCACCATGACACAACATAGAATAACCAACCAATGAGCAGCCAAATCCAGGCCACAGAAAAACCATCTTAGGCCTCCTTGTTCAAACACACTGTACGCATCGATAACCGCCATCATATGTATGAAATCCCTGGTGTGACATTATGTGAAAACTGTTGTTGATATGCGGACTGGGAGGGGGAAAGCGATGATGACATAAGCCAGACGGCTTGTATTACGAGGGATCCTTCCTAAGATCTAATTAGCCCATGGCTGCTGAAGCGGTGTGGAGAGACAGGGTGGCTGTGACAGCACCTTCGTCTCAGAAGCTGCAGGATGGCGTGGGTGAGCTAACCTTTCTCTCTGACATTTCACACTCAACCCACACTGCTCATCCTCCAATTGGACATCATTCCAGAAACACTCCAGAGACAAAGCAAGATCATGGCATCTGGCGTGATATATGCGGCTCGAAAGCAACTACATGTGTTAAGAGGAAGTTGGCTAGCATTCGGCTGGCTAGCGAGCCTGTGAGAGAATCTAATCTTGGCAGACGTGGATGAATCGATGAGAGCAAAACAAGCCAACACTGTGAGGGACATCTGGCACTAAAGGGGGGGGGGGGGG